TGTACATGAATGTTGGTGACATGATTTCATGGTAGTCAAAAGAGTGAAACACCCTAAATGTGTGACCATCAGGGGACGGTGGAGAAGCAGCGAGGCGCGTCCCTTGACAGGCTTTGTCCCTTGAAGCTCCCTGACTGGGTGGCGGAGACTGAGTAGGGGCCGAGGCGCTTCCTGCTGAGGCAGGTGGGCGATTCCACAGCCCGCAGGCACAGCCACACTCAGTCTGGAATCGCGGCAGAACCGCCCGGCTCCAGCCCCGCTCCGCCCTGAGTGCTGCGCAGGGCTCCCGTGCAGTCGCAGGCCGTGGTGCTGTCGACCCGACAGGAGGCACCGCGAGGCCTCAGCGCCCTCGCTCGCACAGCCCTCTGCCGTCGCTTTGGAAAGCCAGGAGCTACAGCCGCCGCCCCTCCAGGCCTCCCCAGAGTTTCAGAATTTCACTTCGTGCTAATTATAATCTCCTTGTGCGGGTAGCACAGAGAATCGCGGAACACGGACGGGACCTCGGTGACACCAGAGGGCAGCACCTTTCTTCCTAGCTGTGTCCCTGGAGGAGCACACGGAGACCGCGCCCCGCTGGGCGCCGGTTAGAGTGAATCCGGTGCTGGGTTCCTCCTTCAGAATTCACTGCAGCTCCGTCCCGCAGAGGCAGTGAGGCTCTGTCAGTGCTGTTGCCCCTCATTCTACTCTTCCTCCAGGTCACTGGCCCAGGCTGGGTGCAGCCTATTAACCTATTAAAATGGGTTAGAGTGGGAGAAGCTGCAGCAGCCCCACAGCATAGCTCCCCAAGGCTCCCTTGCGCCACGGCCCACAGCCTCCGCACGCAGCCCCATGCCGTCACAACGCCCAAGAGGAAGGGGCGGCGAAGGAGGAGCCCAGGAGGAGATTGGTGAGGTTGTGAGATTCTCCGCTAAACTTGCTCCCGCAAAAGTAGAAAAGATACCCCACCCCAGAAAAGAGACAGCAGGAGCCAGGCGTGCTGGTGCACACCTGTAATCCCATCACTCGGGAGGCTGAGGCAGGAGGATCACTGTGAGGTCAAAGCCCGCCTGGGCTACACAGTGAGTTCAGGGCCAGTCTGAACTACAAAGGGAGGCCCTGGCTCAAAAAAACAGAAAAAGAAAAAGAGCAGGAAAGGATAAATCCTCAGATAAAAAAAGGGAAAGCAGGCCAAAGTGCCTAATCACGAAACTAACAAAGATTCACCTTCAGAAAATGGAGAAACTGAAGAAAAAAAGATGAAGCAGAAGAGAAGGAAACCAACTCCGATGAATCGCACACCATGTCTCCCCTCATCAGTGCTTCCTGTCTCCCTTGTTGTACGATCCACAGGAATATTTTACCAACTATTTTATAAATGCAAGTTTTTTAGTAGCTCTAGAAACATCTTTTAAAGGGGGGGGGAATCATTTTGATTAAAATATAATGAAACTCATTCCTGTGCAATTAAAAGTGTGCTAATAATTACAATTGTTTTAAAAATCATTTCACATCAGCATAATTTGACAAAGTGATTCCACCCATTGTTAAGCACTGGTCAAAATCCTTCAAGCTGATTCCCATACCGTATAACAGGTACCCATCCAGACCTCTTTTTCTTCTCTCCAGAGACAAGAGGTAGCAAAGTGGCAGTGTCGGGAGAAAGGGGACTGTCAAGGTCACTGCTGAACGCATGCAGAATTTCCATTTGGCAAGATGAAAATGAACTCTGGGAGCCAGGTATGGCAGCGCACGCCTGTCATGCCAGCACTCGGGAGGCCGAGGCAGGAGGATCGCCATGAGTTCGAGGCCAGCCTGGGCTACGTAGTGAGACCCTGCCTCAAAACAACAACAACGAACTCTCAAATTGGCTGCGCAATCTTGGTCATGGACTGAACACTCCTGAACTGTGTACTTAAAAATGGTTACGATGATAATATTTCAAAATTTGGAAAAAATTTAAATGCCATAAGAAAAATGTATGTATGAGATATGATCAAAAATATGGTGTGTTTACTGTTTGTTTGTTTTTTTGTACTGGGGATCAAACTTGGGACCTTGCACTTGAGAGGCAGACAGAGGAGCCACTGAGCTAAATCCCCCCCCCTGGTGTGTTTACTTTTTTAAAATGCATAGGCCGGGGATTTAGCTCAGTGGTTCCATCACCTGCCTTGCAAGCACAAGGTCCCGAGTTCAATCCCTGTACCAATAAATAAATAAATAAGTAAATAGGCATTACGGTAAAAAAACCATTGTGTTTAATCCTCCTCAAAATACACTCCCTGTTTCAAACACACTTATCATTTCTGCTACTTTCTGAAGCAGTTCTCAAAATCCTCTTTCATGTCTTTAGCTGGCTGCCTCAATATCCTCAGTCAGTTCAAACTGTCGGCCTTTCATGGTCATCTCGACTTTGGCGAAGAGCCCAAAGCCACACAGTGCCAGAGCCTGCGAAAGGGGGATGAGGACGCAGTACCATGTTCTTACAAAGTCTGCTGCACCGTGGGAAGGTGGCGTGGCATTCACTGGATTTTTGATCACATATTGTGAACACACAAAGAGGACTCCTAGAACTGGTTCAGGAAGTCGCAAGAACAACGCGAGGTGTTTGAAATGAGTGCACTTTTTTTTTTTTCAGTACTGGGGATCAAATTCAGGACTTCATGCCTGCCGGGCAGGTGAGGCACCACTAAACTATATCTTGGGCCCTCAAGGGTATATTTTTATTTGTCTAGTTTTGATTTTGGTTTTTCAAGACAGAGTCCTGCTGTGCAGCCTATGCTGACCTTGAACTTGGTTCAAGCCTCCTGCCTCAGCCTCCTGAGTGCTGAGAGTATGTGGCTACCACACCAAGTGGGAGTATTTTCAGAACTAATCTCAATGTCTTTTACTCTAATAAATTTTTTTATTTTGTTTCTGTTGTTTTGTTTTTGTTTTCTAAGATAGGGTCTCGCTATGTAGTTCAGGCTGGCATTGCACTAAGTGGCCTAGGCTAGCCTCAAACTCTCAGCAATCCTCCTGCCTCAGCCTCCCAAGTTGTAATAAATTTTTAAAACTTAAACCATTCATCATTTTTATCACTATATATATATATTTATCAACTCTCGTTGATGAATTTTTGTGTTTGTTTTATTTGGCTATATTTTATTTTGTAGAGACAAGGTCTCACCATGCTGTCCAGGCCAGCCTTAAACCCACTAGATAGTTTAAATTGTCCTCAAATTTGCAATCCTCCTGCCTCAGCCTCCTGAGTTGCTGGGATTATAGATGTTCACCACAATGCACAGAAAGAGGTTGACTTTTTAACTGTATGCTGCAATCTCCCTGATTATTTCTACCTCATTAGACTGCAAGTTTCATGGAGAGGACACCGTCGAGTCTGTTCATCTCTCTATACTGTGCTAGAACCACTCCCAGAGTGTGGGAAACATGTTTAGCAAGCACACTGAACTCCCTTCTCAGAGCATCTCCACACCTACCCAGTTAGGCTTCCTGTGTGCAAATCTTTTGGTCCACCAAGGACAGTCACCTTGAGGGTGACACACATTTTCTCCTAAACTCAAAATCCATCTCCTCTCTTTTCCCTGATTTGTCTCCAAACACACAAATTCTCAGCCTTCCTTGCAGATATGAGATCAGCTAGGGGCATAGCTCTGGACAATAAGATGTGAGCCAAAGTCTGCTAGAATCTTCCAGAAAGTTTTGAGTGCTTGCCTTGAATTCAGATGTGATGCCTGGACCTGTGGCCTCCATCTTGTGACCATGAGGAAAAGGCTAAGAAAATCAGAGTCCTCAGTAACATCCCCAAGTCTCTGAACAGTGTCAGCAGCTCTGACCTCTACACATAGGTGAGGAAAAATTAATTTATGTTTATGCAGTACATGGTCAGATTTATAAGTGGTACATTTGGCCACATAACATTTCCTTGTTGGCAGCAAACATGATTTCATTTATCCACCCTGTGACCACCTGGTCCCTTCCCCACCCAGCAGATGGGTGAAAAGGGCCTCTGGCCAACATTTTTTCATCCAAAATGTCACTCCACCTTCCTGTTGGATTCACTGAAATAAAGTACAAGAAGTGCTTAAAACAGTCCTTGGAGTAAGCTGCAAACAAAGGTAACAGTGGCTCTACCACAGGGGACAGCTGGAATCACTGCCTGGGAGCCTGGCAGAAGGCTCCCCTGGAACATGAGGATGGGAGGGGACCTGGTGACTTTCTGCGGCCACCCAGCCCTCTGCTTCCATTGTGGTCCTTTCAAAGTATGTGACAAGGGCCTCAGGGACCTGGCACCTTCAGTTTTCCCTCTTCTGTCAATGGAAGCAATAAATAGGCTGAGCTTCAAAGTTGTTCTTGTATCTTTTTCAGCTGCACTCGTTACATTTTGACTTGGTCTTGCTACACTTGACAATGAACAAATATCATATTTGTTTTCTTTTGTTTTTTGAAGTTCTGAGGATTGAAGCCAGCCCCTTCTCCCTGAGCTTTACCTCCCGCCTCTTTGTTATTACTTTTTAAATTTCGAGACATCTTGCTAAATCACTAAACTGCACAGGCTGGGTTCAAACTTGTGGTCCTCCTGCCTCAGCCTCCCATGGGTGCTGGGATTACAGGTGTGCACCACCACACCCAGCCTTTTTTGCGGGGGTACTGGGATAGAATTCAGGTCGTTGCAACTAGCAAGGCAGGCAGCTTGTTATCTTTGTTTTTTTGGTACCAGGGATCGCACTCGGGCCCTTACACTTGCAGGCAGGCAGCGGAACCACTGAGCCAAATCCCTGGCCCTTGTTATCTTTATTAATGTCTCTGACCGAGAAGTCCCTCTCCCCAACTTTTCTTAAATACAAGACACACAGCCAGAGGAAACTCTGCATTTTATTTTCGCTCACAACCCCAAAAGGTAAGTCCCCTCCCCACCTATCTGCAGCCCCTCCCCCAACACCTTCAAACATCACTGATTTTTCTCCCAAAGATAAATCGACCCCCCAGTCTCCAACTACGGCCACTTCCCCTCCTCCCCACCGGCCTGCACTTCCGGCTGCTCTGTGGACTTGCCTCCCGCCCCACAGATCCCAAGGACACTTATCTTGCTTTTTCACTTACAGGACATTGGCCCCTGCTTAAAAACCCTCCCTGACTTAGATGCTCATTTGCAGTCAACTTTACTTGGCTTCCTGGCCTCACTTCCCTCCTCTGCCCTGTGGCCACCCCACCCAGGACCACCGCGACAGAAGAACCAAGCAGCCATATATGACAGTGGGGAGACCAGGGTTCCCAGCTGTACGGGAGAGGTGCAGCTGTTCACCAAAGCCGAACATCACTGATTGGGGTGGGGAGGGTAAAAATCAGAAAGGCAAAAAGAGGACGAAAGCCTAAAATCGGGAGGGAGGGACCTGCCACCCCAGCCCGGAAGTGGAGGGCAGCGAAGCCCCGCCCCTAGCTGCTGCGCATGCGCTGGCTGCGCGCCTTGTACACCTCGATGAGCAGGTCCTTCACGTACTGGATCTCCCGCTCCACCGACTCGGCCCGCTCCCTCAGCTCCCGGTTCCGCGCCTCCAGCCCCTGGCACTCGCCCTCCAACGCCTCGCCCTCCGCCCGCTTCCTCTGGCGGTACCTCAGAGCCGCCGACTTGTTCTGGTCCCGCTTCTTCTGCTTGCGGTCCCCTCGGGCGGCGG